ATATAACAACTATTGGTAATCTCTCTCTGTCTTTGTGAACAGGGTTCACGAGAGAGACGTTGATCCGTCTGCAGCCGAGAACGGTCAGGAGGAACTGGCAGGAGCCGGACCACCAACGCTCAAACGGCACGAAAAGCCACGAGCCGTACTTCGCGCATGCGCGGTCCGGCAGACTACGGCTCGAAAAGATCTCCGATCTGCGGCGCCGGGACAAGCCCGACACCTACAGTGGAGCACCCATGGGACACTGCTCGAAGAAGAATCTAGAGAAACCAATTGCAAAGCATGTTTTCACCTTGTACCTGCCTCTACTGCTGAAAGAGAGAGCCATGCATTCTTACCATTACCATTCTGGGGTTCCTGTGGAGACAAGATCTCAGGACAAGCTCAGTGCCCAGCTGCCAGATAGCCACTATACAAGAACCTGTAGTAAAAGCAACAGGCACCAGCTGATGCCATCTTAGAATCATGAGAGCAGACCTGGCACTGTTACTAAATTGTAACTCCATTTAACACTGCATCATGGCCAATAAATAGGACTGCAGCTTCCCCAACAGCTGAATGAGAGAAACTGCAAAATAGTCACTTTTCTCCTCTCTCCCACTCCCTGCTGAGCAGAAAAGGCTAATATGGTAGATAGTCACTAAAACAAAAGCCTGAGCCACATACAATGATGAGTGGAGCCTAGCAAGAGAAATTATGTACAATATAAACACAAACAATAGAAAGTGCTGGCTGATCTCAGAGGGTGATGGAGTTAATATACACCTGGAGCTGATCTCTGGAAAACAGGCCTAAGGATTAGGCATTGTTACAACTAGACCCCTAGAAGAGGTAATTGTAGTTAGATATAGACTAAGTTCTTTAGGGACAGGGCCCATCAGTTAGACCTGGTCTATACTCCTATGAGCTGTCAATCTAATTTACACAACCTCAGCTAGCTGAACAACATACCTGAAGTAGACATATCTAGATCTATTTATCACAGTCACTGCTGTAAGTAGACAGCTGATGCTCTCCTATCAACTCCAGTACTGCACCAGAACCAGAAGTGCAGGCAGAGTTGACAGGAGAGCACCCAACCGTCAATCAACGGTCTAATCAACCTCCATTAGATCAATTACTGCCTGTCAATCTGGCAACAGTGTAGATGTGCCATATGTTCAGTGTTTGTGTAGCATCTAGCACAATGAGGTGTTGGTCTGTGACTGAAGACCCTAGGTGCTACCATAATACAAACAGGAATAGTTACCTGGGCATTCAAGCTGTCTTTTTAAGTGACATCAAAATCAGGCCCATTTAAGCCTCCTTCCCTTCTGAGGAATCTATAACCCACAGCTACTACAGCTTTCTCTACTACAGCTATGACCCACATGGGTAATTACTATGCCTCACCCACATGGCTTGGCTGCAAGTTTATCAGGGTTAAGTTCACTCTCCCTTCCAGCTCATCACCAAATATGGAACAAAGTAGGAACAGCAGCTGTCACGTGTATCCGTTGGGGATTGCTAAACAAGAGAAGAGTAACTATGGGCCCTGCATACATTTTAAAAATAAAGATTGAAGCCCTGAGATCTGATACAAAACATCAGAGCTAAGTATTATTAACTTAAATGTGACACACTATGGAACTCCTGAACAGCTTTCTACATAAAGTTAGCTGGGTAATTACCCTCTGCCACAGAACTCAGGAAATGAACAAACTGCTTAAATTCAGAAAATCATAGAACACTAGAACCTTGAGGCTACGTCTACACCGGCAGCTTCTTTTGCGGAAGAGTTCTTGTGCAAAAACTCTTCCAGAAGAGAGGGTCTACACTGGCATGTGCTTTTGCACAAGAGATGTGCTCTTGCACATGAGCATCCATGCCAGTGTAGACGTCCTCTTGCACAAGAAAGCTCTGGTGGCCATTTTAACCATAGGGCTTTCTTGCACAAGAAATTCATGTTGCCTATCTACACTGGCCTCTTGCGCAAGAACAGTTGCGCAAAAGGGCTTATTCCTAAGCAGGAGCATCATAGTTCTTGCACAAGAAGCCCTGATTTCATACAGCAGAACGTCAGTTTACTTGTGCAAGAACACGTGGCCAGTGTAGACAGGCAGCAAGTTTTTGTGCAAGAGCGGAAACTTTGGCGCAAGATCGCACCAGTGTAGACACAGCCTGAGAGATCATTGAGTCTAGTCTCCTGCCCTCATGGCAGGACCAAGTACCATCTAGATCATCTCCGACAGATTTCTATCAAACCTGCTCTTCAATATCTCCAGAGATGGAGATCCACAACCCCCCTAGGCAACTTAGTCCAGTGTTTCACCACCCTGACAGGAAGTTTTACCTAATGTCCAACCTAAACCTCCCTTGCTGCAGTTTAAGCCCATAGCTTCTTGTCCTATCCTCAGAGGCCAGGAAGAACAATTTTTCTCCCTCCACCTTGAGACACCCTTTTAAATACCTGAAAATCACTATCATGTCCCCCTCTCAATCTTTACCTTTCCAAATTAAACAAGCCCAATTATTTCAGTCTTCCTTCATAGATCATATTCTCTAGACCTTTTATCATTCTTGTTGCTCTTCTCTGGACCATCTCCAATTTCTCTATATCTTTCTTGAAATGTGGCGCCCATAACTGGACACAATACTCCATTTGAAGCCTAATCAGCACAGAGTAGAGTGGAAGAATGCATCCCAGAATCATGTTTGCTTTTTTTCCCCCCCAACAGCATCACACTTTTGACTCATATTTAGCTTGTGGTCCACTATGACCCCTAAATACCTTTCTGCAGTACTCCTTCCTAGACAAGTCGCTTCCCATTCTGTACATGTGAAACTGTTCCTTCCTAAGTATAGTACTTTGCATTTGCCCTTCTTAAACTTCATCCTATTTACCTCAGACCATTTCTCCAGTTTGTCCAGATCATTTTGAATTATGACCCTATCCTCCAAGGCAGTTGCAACCCCTCCCAGCTTTGTATCATCTACAAACTTAAGTGTACTCTCTATGCCAATATCTAAAATAATAAAACAAACATTCATGGCTTTGTATTTTAATCACTAATTTCTCAATGCAAAACATAAAAATGAGCTGTTCTGAAGCCTCAGGATAAGCTGAACAGCTGATGTGTACCAATTTTTTGGGGGGGGAGCGGGGGTTCTTGTTTTTAAGGACTCAACTGCACATTAACTAATGATCACCTCTTCAGCCTAAACATCAAAATAGCTATCAGGTAATTGTGACCGTATGTCTCTCACACTGAAGATACTCAAACTAGAAGCTAAGTCATAGGAAAAAACTAAGTGCAGGCTCTACCTGTGCTGAAATAGATGTGTCTCCCTTTTCTTTTGGATATGAGAAGATCATCTGGAAAGGTGACACCTGCTTTATACCTCACCAAAGAATGCTGAGGAAGCAGGCAATGAGGAAAACTCATGAGCCCTGGAAACAAAAATTAAGATCCTTACATAATGCTTTAAATATGGCTAGTTGCTGTTTATCCCATTTAGGTCAAGTTTGCCTTCTGTGAAGATACCCATATTATCACTGGGGCATTCCAAAGGTCTTACAAGGCCATAGCAACCTGTTCTGGTGCTAAGAAAAGCTTGTTTCAGCACTAGGCATCAGACAGAAGGGAAGGTACATTCAACTCAGTGCCATATGATATTTGCTGTGACTTAGGGCTTGCTTATCCAGAGAAAATTTCTAGCATTATTATACCAGTATATGCACCAGCACAGATTTTTTTGTCAACAAGATCTCTATGTGATTTGATTCAACTGTCAGACAGCACCTTAATTTTGGATATAAAAGGCAGCAGTTTACCAATGTATAGCTTGTTATATAGCAGCTAACATAGGGTCCTAGTCTGTGAGACCAAGGCATGATGGTAATAGAAGTCAGTAACAGTAGGAGTGGAGACAAAAGCAGGAGTCCAGTCAGTTTTCCCACTGAGTCAGTGCCTCTTCAGTTAAATTGTGTAAAATGAGTGTGGCATTGATGAGTCACTTGGAGTCTCCTACAAGAGCCAAAATGCAAAGCATTAAGGTCTAATCTTCCCCCTCGGCTGTATTCTTTATTTTTCTATACCTTTAGAGTGAAGATGATTAGTAGCAGAAGCCAGTTTCTAGATCTAGGGGTAATTCTACTTCCCCCAAAACACTTTTAAAAATAAAGCAATTGCTTTGGCAACCTGACTAGAGAAGGTCTTTTCTATGAGTTTTCCAACACTAGTGCTATCTTTGTTAGAGCATGCTTTCTCGTTGAGCTCTGGAGAACAATATAGTGAACAGACCACTGCTAGAACACTGGAAGAACAGCACCACTTTGAGTTAAAGCTGTCTAGAGTGAAGATTTTAATAAAATGAGGAAAAGAAACTGAATAGAAGTAATTTGTTGCATTATATGTCTGAGTTTAGAACTGGGTGGGTCCACATGTCTGCCACTAATTGTGGGTTAATGTTATGATAGGGTGTGCCGGTCATTTTCAGTAGCCTGGACTTTGCTAATTTTATAAAGAGGCTTTTTGAATACTTTGAGAAACAAAGCTGGAGGTTATGTTCTGCCTATTTGTGCTGGGGAATCCTAATGCAGCTACAGAATTAACTATTACAAAGCAATAGGAAAAATTCTCTTTAGTTTAATGAGATCATAACTTGTTGCAACAGTTGGCCAACTCCATTTGCCTCTCTTCTTGAGGATGGTGTATGTTTTACTCAAACTCCCAAAAATGTCTCCAGAAGTAGCCCTCAGGATCTCCCAGAGATTAAATATGACTAAGAACTCAAGAAGTTATGGAATACGTATCAGCTTCTGCATGTTACTGTATTCCTAGGAAGGAAAGAATTGATCTTGTGTCTGATGAATACAGAAGCAGGCAAATGGCAGCATAACTGAGTGTTGCAGCATTAGTGAGACCTGGAAGTGTAATCTTTGAAATACACCTGCCCCTCTCTCACATTTGAGCATTTTCAGCTTTAGAAAGCACATTGTGCAACTGTCCAATGAGTACCCTTAAAAAAATAGGAGGCTGTTTTATTGAGTAGAATTCCAATTGACCAATTGAGAGCAGATAATACACTAATACAGAATGACTTCGATCAAAGCTCGTACTTTGCATCTGAAGTCTTTTAAAGTGACATGATGCCTTAATAAATTAAGGAAACGGTGATTCTTCTTCCCCATCAGCTCTTCAATTCATGCTCTTCACAAACTCCTCTCCTTTCTTGATAGAAGCTTTCAGCTCAGACATGGCCTCAGCTACCATCTTTTCCTCATAAGGAGAGATCTTGCCAATACCTAGATTCTTCTCAATTCCATTTTTCTGAGGGGGGGGGGAAAGAAGAGTTTTAGGGTTACACAATTTCTGCATTCTTTAGCAAGGAATAGCTTTAAAATCTATGCCTAGCTAGAGGATTAACTTTCGTTAAAAACCCTCCCTCCTCCTCAGGTCTCCAACTGGTGCATCTGCAGGAGAGAGTCTCGAAACATTTCAAACAGCTACTTTATTTCCCACCCACTAGTCAGGATGGGGGAAGATGGTGTCTTGTCCAATTTTAGGACCATCTCCTTCCTAGAAGAGGAGCTGAGATACCAACTTCTCCTTCTCCCTTCCCTCAACTGTTCTGTTGCTTTCCTAAAGCCACATGCTAATTTAAGGAACTGATTTACGCTGCAGAAAGACTATCACATACATTTGCACCACTGGCTTCCACTGATTTTTCAAATCTACTCTGCAGTTACCCTTCTAGAACCCAGACTTTAAAGCAGGAGTTCCCAAACTGGGGGGTGGGAAGAAATTCCAGGGGGCACGAGGTGACCCAACCCCTCACACACACCGTCAATCCCACCCCAAGTTTTGCTGCTTTTTTGGGAGGGGGGGCCTGAGGGTTTCTCAAAAATCAAAAAAGGGGGGCGTGGTGCCGAAAAGTTTGGGAACCACTGCTTTAGAGACTAAAGAGAACCTACAGAAGAAGGTTATACAATGGAAGTTACAGCTGTTCGGACATATCTGCAGAATGAACGATAAGAAGTTAAGACCCTGATATTCAGCATAATTTACGGTCCAAATAGGAGAGGCAGACCCCACAAAGAATGGATAGATGATATAATAAAAACTAAGTCATTCTACACTGGACAGGGAAAGATGAAAGGAAATAGTGAGGGAGGCATCGGACACCAACGGGCATTCAGCCCATGGTTGCTGCTGCTGCTGCTGATCCTGTCTGACGTCTTGGCCCAATCTATTTCACTCCAGTCTTTACTTCAGTCCACTCTCAGTGAGTAGGATACCTTTTCACTGTCTACTTCCCCTCAAGGACTGCAACTCCCTTTTCTTTTTGAATTCTTGTCTCAAAAGCTTCTCTTTACATTAGGGATGAGAGAGGCTAACTGGTTAACCAGTAAGGTCCCAGTTAACTGATGGGGGCTCGAGCAGCCCCCAGCCCAGAGCAGGGGGCTGCTCCAGCCCTTCGGGGCACACCATGGATGGGTCATTCCAGCCTGGCCAGAGCAGCCCCTGTCCATGGTGGGCCCTGATACACCATAAGCAGGAGCTGCTCTCTGTGGGCTGGAGAGGGTGGGGGTGGGAGAAGAGGGCTCCAACCCTGCTTCCCCTCCACATTAGTCACTTTAATCAGTTAAATGTAGTGTTTAACCGATTAACCAATTAATCAGGATTTTTCATCCCTACTTTACATAGTCCACATAAAATAAACTAGGCTACATTTCTCAAATATATAGTAGATTGAGTTTGTGCATCCGAGCCCATCTGTTCAAGAACTTCTCCTAAACAGTAAGAGTAGGACCACCAATTTTAGTATGCAGCTTCCTCTTAGCCTAATTTAAAGCAAGGTCAGGATTTGGTCATGCCAGAACAATGGGATGTGCCTGGAATTCGACTGTTTATTTTATGAGAAACAGTTATACTGCAGAATGACTGCAAGGGGGCAGCAATGGGGACTGGGAGAGCTAGAACGAAGGATGTTAGATAATGTAATTGAATAATCGTGTAATAGCATAAAATATGATCAGTTACACAACTATTTGATAGACTCCAAGTGAAGGTCTGGGGGCAGATGCTGTGCCGGCATCCATGGAGCAGCCTCTGTCTATGGTGAGCCCAACCCAGTAATGGACAGAGGCTGCTCTGTGGCAGCCTCCCCTGCCCTCACCCCCACCCCCTGCTGCCTCTGTGGGAGGCAGGTAGCTCCATGAAGCCAGCACGTGTGGAGGGATTAGAACTGAATGTAGTCAACAGGATTAACTGATTAGCAGAGGCTTACTGGTTAATCGTGTAGTTGACTAGACATTGACATCCCTAGCTATAACCCCATTGGGCCAGCAGGAGTGAAGAAAAGGACAGCTATCTACTATATATTTCAGAGAGTTTGCGTGTCTGTCCCAGCTGGGGGACATGCACCTTTCCCCACAGCTGTGCCTGGAGCTGCAGCAGCTATGGAGGGGAGCTTCTCATCTGGCCTCAAGCTGCTAGAGTGAGATGTGGTTGGGGTAGCCCTCTCTTCCTGGGGCAGCTTGCATACCAAACCCCTCATCTCCTGCCCTCCCCAGAATAAGTATTTAAAAATTAAGAAAACACGAAACTATTGAGTTAAGGACCTGAGCAATGCTAAGTTAAGTCTTCTATAAAACATTCTTCCATTGTTCCCAAACGCCACAGCATTCTTAACTCATTATTTATATTGGCCACCAAACTGCAATTCCTGGACACCAGTAGGGCTTTGGAAGTCACACTGAGGCTTTCACACCCCAGTCTACTGGTAGATCTTGGAGCCTTTGATAAGTGATCTTGACTGGTTTGGCCAAGAAGCTACCAAGTGCTGGTACTTCAGTTGCCCCTCCCCACACTGCTACCCATAGCCTTGGAGCTGCCCCTCCCTGGGAGCCTCCTGCTTGCAGTGCAGAGCAGGGAAGGGAGAAGAGGGGGCGCTGATGTCAGGGTACCCCCTCTCTCATCCTGTATTCTATCTCCACAAAATGGAGGGCGAAGGCACAACAGAGCTTGGGATGTAGGGAGTTTGCTGGCTGCTTTGGAGTGTGGTGCACGGCCAGGGCAGGGGTGAGCCTGCCTTGGTCTCACTGCCCCACCACTCAGGAGCCACCTGAGATAAGCAGTGTCCAGCTGGAGCCAGCTCCAATTCCCTGCCCCAGTCATGAATCCCCTCCTGCACCCCAAGCCCCTGTCCTAGCCCCGAGCCCTCTGGATGCAAACTCCTTTACAGAGCCTGCACCCTGAACCCCTGCCCCAGGCTCAGTTCAGAGCCCCCTCACATTTCCAGGCTCAAGACCAGAGCCTGTGCCCCAACCCTCTGCCCCAGCCTGGTGAAATGGAGGGAGGATGACGGAGTGAGCAGGGACGGGGCCTCAGAGAAGGTGCAGGATGGAGGCAGGGCAAGGGTATTTGGGTTTGAGGTAGATCCTGGATTGCACTTAAATTCAAAAAGCGATCTTGTGCTTAAAAAAGTTTGAGACCATTGAGTTAAGGTGACCAGACACTTGAGTTCTACTGAAGTTCTGACAGTTCTTCATAAAAATACACATTACAACCTCCTAGTCAGAGTGACTGAGAATAAAGAGTTCAGACTGAGATGCTGATTTAAATTAGAGGACCTGGTTATCCAGTCAATTTAAAAGCAGAACTAAGGACAGGGAGCAACTGAAACGCAAAACTTGGATTTGCCTGAGTAAATCAGTTACTAAAATAGCCAAGTCCTTTTCTTAATTAGCTCTGTTGAAACATCAGGAGCTCAAAACCTATTGCAAATGTTTAAAGTACTTCATACTCCAGTTTTTCATTAAGAATGTCAAGGAATAGCTTTGAGTTAGGCTACTGCCCCTTCTAAAAATCATTTGAATAGGATTATTACATGCCTGACTCAAATATCTAAAGTTATAAAATGCTATCTGAAGTGTTGCATTAGCCAAACAAGCTACTTCTGCAACACCCTTCCAACTTAAGGTACAATTTATTACACTAAACATGTCAGTTAAAAACACCATCCAAGAGACATACCCCAAGTAACAAAGGTGTTGAAACAAAAGAACATTCAATAACACCTTCCTTTCCATTCATTGCATCCAGCACAGAAAAGACAAACCTGGCCCCAGCATACGCCATAGATAAGGTAGCAGATCCTGTACAAACAGGAGTCAGAACAAAGATATTAGTTCAGACTGGTAGGATCACTAATATCACTATTTATTTAAACTTTAACCCTAACTGAAAAGTTTAAAACTAGTGTAGGATGGAAGCTTGTTTACAATCTGACATTTGAATCAGTGTCACATTTTTGGAGAGGTGGCTAACACAAATTCAGCAGGTACTGGAATTACATATTTTCAATACTCACAAGCATCAATTTGTCCCCCACCACACTGAAAGCATCTTTTCTTTTAAAGAAGATGCACAAAGGGGAAAAAAGTAGTTTTGCCTATTACTGAGCTATATATTAAAAGAGCAGAATATTTCTTCTTTGTTGAAGTTCCTCTGCTTGTTTTCACATCTAGTACTTACTCCCCTCTATGCTGAAATGAGATATTAGTTTAAAAAAAAACAAAACAAAACTAAGGAAGAGATTGTATATCAGAAGGAAGCAGTAAAGAACAAGAGCTCTGTTTAACCCAGGGGTGGGGAACCTTTTTTGAATCAGGGGCCAATGATCCACAGAAAAATCAGTCAGGGGCTGCACACAAGTGAGAAACAAAAAAGCCACCCCTCACTAACTAGCATGAGCTCCCCAATGCTAGGGGGACCCCAAACCTCAGGAGCCAGATCCAGGCTTAAGCTCCCCACACCTAGGTTTAACTGTTCATATTTAACAGTGCATTAGTCAAGTCCAACAGCTGAGATAGCACAAGATCAAAAACCTTGAACCCATCACTGAACAGTAACTTTGGACCACTAGCATGCCATTTTATTGGCATGTGTTTGACCAGTTTAATTTGCAGGTGAAGAAGGTTGTACAGTAGATTCCATACAGTAGGGTTAAATAGTAATCTACCTAATGAACTGAAGAGCTTGAGTGCTGCCAATAGCAGCACTAATCCATTTGTAATAAATACCAATGTGCTACACTGTCCTGTAGTTTCCAGTCTATTCTGGAACACAAAAGTACTGCTTACACCCTGAACTGGTTAAACAATTTAAGATTCAGAAGTGTTTCCAAGAACCAACCTGCTCCTGCTTTTGCTTTCACAACTTCAGTACCAGCCTCCTGAATTCTGCCCGCAAGTGTTTCCAATTGATCCTGAGGGAATTCCACTTTTGGTGTACACTAAAATGGAAAAAATCTCATTTATCAGTTCATCACAACACCCCTTTAAACACATGATACTTTAGAGCAGGGGTTGGCAACCTATGGCTCTGTAGGGAGCCAAATATGGCTCTCCTGCAGCTTGAGCTCAGCCCTCTCTTGCTCCCACCATGGCAGCGAGCCTGCACTGATGTTCCAACCTCACAGTGCCCCCTGCAATATTGGAGCACCAGCTTCCTGCAGGGGAGAGTGAGCTCCAACCATCCCCACCAGCTTGCAGAGAAGAAGTAGTGCCAGAAACAGCTACTGCGTACTACTGTGACTGCACGTTGGGGTTTCCCTATCTCCTGCACCCCCGTAGTGGCACGAACAGACTCCGCCAGCCAGTAGAATAGAGGGAGTTTATTGCTTCTTCAGGATACAGCACAGCACAGCACAGATGTAATCTGATTACAGAACTGGGGCTAGGAGGCCTCACTACCCCCCCTTGAGATGGGAGATGGCTGGGCCCTACAATCCCAGCCCCCCTCCCTAGCTCCTCCTCCCCTGCTTCTCAGACCGAAACTACCACTCTCTTCCAGCCCTGCCTCCCAGCCAGGGCTCCACTCCGCCTTCTTCCCATTGTTCCACTCCCTGGGAGATAACTGGTCAGACAGATTCGGAGTCCTCAGGCCTTGAACCTCAGTCCTCCCTAACCCTCTCCCCACCATCAGGCTGGAGCACCAGGGGAATAAGGTATTTCAGTTGAGGGGCTACATCAGTGAGGGTTGCAGGAGTTTGGAGGGATTTTTTTGTGCTCCAGCATAGCAACCAGCAAGGTATCCCCCCCACTACGTCACAACTACCACTTCGCCTTCTCTCCTGCCGGCTAAGGGGACAGCAAGGCATGGATGCATTCCCTGGAGGTTTTCCCTGCCTAGCCCTACTTGTGTGGTCCCCTACTGATTTTTTGGTGGGTCAGTGGTCCCCCACTCCAAAAAAATGTCCCCACTCCTGCTATAAATAAAAACCATGTTAAAACCTTTGTCATCTGGCTGCAGCTTCCTGTCCCCAGCTCTGATCTAGGGCAGGCTCCATGGTTCATTATTTAAAATGAAGCCTGGCCAACATGGCCCCGATAGGGGGCCAGCCCAAATCAGACTGTAGTGTCCTGGATCCCAAGCATGGGTAGGAGGGGAGGTCATGATCTGGCTGCGGCAATCCTGTACCAGCTCCTCATCCAGCCACTGCTGCCCAGGTGCAGCAACCCAGCCTGGTAAGGTAATCCAGTCCCAGGCCCCCCTCCCCCCACTCTCTCCCACCTCCAGCACCCTGCCCTGTTCCTCGACTAGTCCGCAGATCAGCTGTTCGGCGGCTGTCTCTTTAAACGACACATCCGTGCAATTCAAAGGGACAGCTGCCTGGAGTCAGCTGGGGACTCCCCAGCTGATCATGGGCTCCCTGTGGCATTTCCCCAGAACCTGGGGTCAGCTGGGTAGTCCCCCACTGATCCCGGGGTCCATGGCTTTGAAATGCACAAGAGTCCCCACTGGGGATTCTTGTGCATTTCAAAGAAAGCACCTGCATGCAGCCCGGACTCAGCAGGGGCTCTTGTACATTTCAAAGGAGGAATGTGGGAGTGCCTATTAACAAGTCGATTAGTTAAATGCTTACAGAATAGTCAACTAGTCTTTAACATCCTTAGCATCTACCAAACATCTCCTATCCCTGCAATAGCCAACTTCTCAGATTCCTTCCTCCCCTCTTCTCAAAAGTTTCAGACGCAGGACTACGAGTCAGATTTGGGTGTTCATCTCATTTCTGCCCCAGGACTCCCAATAAAGCCCAAGGTCACTCATTCCATCTCTTCTTCAGGTTACTTACATTTCTCATACGTCAGAGGGTAACCTGTAGCCCACAGCCACAAGCAGCCCACTTGGGTTCCATCTGTGGCCCGTACAACCTCCTGTCTACCCCTCTCCAACACTGGGGCCCCACTCTTCCTACTTCTCCCCATCCCTCCCAGCACTTTCTGGGCGCTGTGCATCAGCTGATGTGTGACATTCAAGCTCTGGGAGAAGAGGAAGAAGTGGGAATGGAGCACAACTCAGCAGATTTATGGCACTCCAAAAGTGATGGAAAGGAGGGGAAA